AAAAAAAAAAAAAAAAAAAAAGATCAGTCCTCTTATCTCCTGGAAGAAATCATTTTATTCTGAGACTCTTTCAGTGTTCCCTGTAAAGAATAATGAAGACTGTCTTGTCAAAGTGGAGCCCCTAGCCTAGCTTTTTAGAGGAAAATTCCATCAGTGCCTGCCATTAACTAATATTTCCTCTTGGCTTAGTTTAATCTATTTAATATACAGTAATAAATCTGTAATATCTCAGCAGTAAGTTTCACTGCCAACAACTCCATTCTCTGACTTTTGCTGCACTGTATTTCTTTCTTTTTGTTGGTCGTGGGGCTGGAGTCCCTCTACCACTTGAGCCACGGCGCCACTTCTGATTTTCTGGTGGTTTATTGGAGATAAGAGTTTCACAGACTTTCCTGCCTGGACTGACTTTGAACCATGATCCTCAGATCTCAGCCTCCTGAGTAGTTAGGATTACAGGCGTGAGTCACTCACTGGTGCCTAGCCTTGCTGTACTGTATTTTATCATAGAGTTCCATCCTCAGACACAGAGAGATAGTCAAAAGATATTTCCCTCATAATTCATTTTTGTATATCCATGACCATGTACCACACAACCATCTTTAGGGATTTCCCATTATTTTAACTCATTTAATTCTCATAACAATCTGAAAGATACTATTATTCTGCTTGGCAGATAAGGCATACTAGTAACTGTTGGCAGAGCTGATGTTCAGACCTCGCTGGTGGATTCCAGAATCACTGCTCTTAACACTGATCAGTGCTGTCTCTAGTAGAAAGTCTGAGTGACCTCTGGTGGACATTTGTTAACATCATAAGAAGGACACAAATTTTAAGGTAAGTCAGGAGACCAAACTGGCACCAGCATAGCTGATAGGACACGTCCAGACACTGTGAAAAGAAACTTAGATTGCTGGGGTGGGAAACTCTGGCCTGTTTCCATCACCTTAGTTTATACTAGCCATAGTTGTGGCTCACTGAAACTGCTGCTTCCTTCCTAAAGTCCTTAACTCAAGACTCTGTGTGTGTGTGTGTGTGTGTGTGTGTGTGTGTGTGTGTGTGTTTGCCATTGCTGGGGCTTGAACTCTGGGCCTGGGCATTGTCCCTCAGCTTTTTTTGCTAAAAGCTAGCACTCTGCCACTTGAGTCACACTGCCACTTCTGGCTTTTTCTGTTTATGTGGTACTAAGGAATTGAACTCAGGGCTTCCTAGGCAAGCAGCCAAGTGGTTTTTGAAAGGGTTTCCTCTCTTATTTTCCTTTAGGATATCAGACAATTTCTGATGGTGAAACACTGTAGTAAACATAGCAATATATTTACCTCAGAGCCTGTGATTATAACTGTTCAGTGAATTCGTATGATCCAATTATAACTGAGATCATTTGAGAACATACTATGCCTGTCATGGTTCAAATTCTTCGCCTGCATGATCTTATTTGTTTCTCACATACCTAAAATATATCCATCCTTATGCCATTGTTATGCCACAGAGGAAGGAACAGACTCAGGGAAATAAAAGAATTTACTCATGATCATACAACTACTAAATGATAGAATCTGGATTCTAATCCAGAAAATTGGCCAGCAACTCCAAACTGCTTCAAGAGACCCCATGGTTTTTCTTAGGAGAAAGGGAGATAGTTATTAGGCACATTTGTTTGTGTGTGCAAGTAGTAGGGCTTGAACCTAGCAGGTCTGAGCACTGTAACTTAGCTTTTTTGCTTAAGGTTGGAGCTCTACTATTTGAGTCACAGTTACACTTCCAACTTCTTTTTTTGCTGGTTAATTGGAGACTTGCCTACCCATGCTGGCTTTGAACTCCAATCCTCAGATCTCAGCCTCCTGGGTAGTTAGTATTATAGGTGTCAGATACCTGTGCCAGGCACATTTTAATCTTTAAAAAAACTGGATGTAGCTTAAGTGGAGGGACAAAGGGTGAACAAATGTAGTAATGGATGGTACTCACTGGACACTGTTGAAAATGAACTATACAACTTGTGGATGGGGATGGGAGGGAAAACTGGGAGAGTGAAAGGAGTAACATTTTCCTAAACCTTTACCTAATTTATGTAACTGCCACCCCTCTGTATATTACCTTTATAATAGCAATAAAAATAAACTTGTATGATATAATATTTAAGAAGCAAAAAGGGAAATTATGAAGTTGGCTTTTTCTTATTAATTTAACATATATTGAATATATGATACATATGTAATATACAGTCATCCATCACTTAATGACAGGTATATGTCCCGAGAAAAGCATCTTAAGGTGATTTTTGTCATTGTGCAAACATCATAGAGTATTATATTTACACAAAACTGCATATTATAGTCCACTATATACCTAGGCTATATGGTATAGCCATTGTGGTATATGTGGTCCACTATTGATTTTTTTGGGTTGATCGTGGGGCTTGAACTCAGGGCCTGGGTGCTGTCCTTAAGCTCTTTTGCTCAAGGCTAGCATTCTACCATTTTAAGCCACAGCACCACTTCCAGTTTTCTGGTGGTTAATTTGAGTTAAAAGTCTCACAGGTGCTGGGAAGGTGGCTCGGTGGTAGAGTGCTTGCCTTGCATGCATGAGGCCCTGAGTTTGATTCCTCAGCACTACATAAGCAGAAAAAGCCAGAAGCGGCACTGTGGGTCAAGTGGTAGAGCGCCAGCCTTGAGCTGAAGAGCTGAGGGACAGCGCCCAGGCCCAGAGTTCAGGCCCCACAACTGACAAAAAAAAAAAAAAGAAAAGAAGAAGAAAAAGAGTCTCACAGATTTTCCTGCCCAGGCTGGCTTTAAACCTCAATTCTCAGATCTCAGCTTCCTAAGTAGCTAGAATATCAGACATGAGCCACCAGTGCCCAGCTAATACAAACGTTTTGTTAGGCATTAGTGCCTTTCTATGTAGCCAACTCAACATCCTCCTATCCCAGCTTCTCAAGTGCTTGGATTACAGGGATGCACTGCCTTGCTTAACTAACTTTATTTCACAGTTGTATTTTATAAACATCACAGCTGAGAAGCAGCTCGAGTGTTGGGCTCTAGGAATTGTGCAGGGCTGGATCCTGGGAGGCAATCATCTTGTTCACTCAAACATTTTCTGATGGTTATGTCCAACGAGATGGGGAGACAATTGAAAACCAGGTAGGCAGGGTCACTGCCCTCCTGGACTTTATAAATCTGGTGAGAACATTCTTGCTCTGAGTCACTGCCAAGCCCTCGACATTGGACAAGGAACTTCTTTTTTCCTGTTTCTGTAAAACAGGTGTGATTAGATGAATGAATCTGAAACTCGAATCCCCCACCTAGGAATCCTAAGGTGGTATCCTCAGGGTAGTGGGCGCTGGGGAGAGTGGGCGAGGCTCTCCTTGTCCTGCGTTACCGCAAACCCGACAGCGGGGGTCGCTGTTCAGACACTGCTCCAGCCCGCGTTTCAAATGTGTTTGTCCCTTACCGCCCGCCGTCGTCCCCACCGCCGCGGCCGCCGCCGCCCTGCCGAGCTACTTGCCGCCCTCACCCCTTCCCCAGGCACAGCTCCGTGTCACCTCACAGCCTGCCGGGCGGGGCACGGGGGCGGGGCGGCTGCGGCTCCAGGCGGGGCGCGAGAGTGGGAGGAGCCAGAGGCGGGGCGGCTAATCATTCCGCCGACGATTAACCCCGGCCTCCGGCAGCGTTTCTTCAATGGTCCAGCTTGAGGGGCGGGGACGGGGTGAGCAGAAGCCCCGCCCCGCCGAATACCTGCGCAGCCGCAGTCAGCAAGCGGACCTCGCCAGGATTCTGCTCCCGGATCTAGGGTTCTCGGGGCTGAGAATCCGTGAGGAATGACGTGCTGACGTAGTATCCAGCCCCGCCTCTGCTAGGTGGGGCAGACGGTGCTACCGGCCGGTTACGTCATTTCCGCGAATCAGCTGAGGGTAGGGAGTCCCGCGGTCCTGACTGGAGGAGGTTACTTTTAGAGTACTTTGTAGTAGTGGGGTTGGTTGGGGGGCTTATACTAATGTAAAAAGACAACACAGCCCCTGAGGAAAACCCTGTCGCCTGGTTGTGTTTGTGCCTCGTACTTTCCAATCGCCCATTATTTATGGAAGACATCTCCGAACGTGCTTTGAGCTTTCAGGATGAGGCAGTCAGCCGCATTTATTAGCTCCACAGGAGTTGCAGGGGGGTTTGTTGTCCTTAATGGCGAGAGAGCACCTTTTAAACCTAATTGTGTTTGGAATTTTGTATTGTGAAGATAGCGAGCATTTACAAAAGTGGCATAAAGTAATAAATAATAGTTTATTACTAGTCTGGGAAGGTGGCTCAGTGGTAAAGCACTTGCCTTGCATGCATGAGGCCCTGGGTTCAATTCCTCAGCACCACATAAAGAAAAAAAGCCTGTGGCTCAAGTGGTAGAGTGCTAACCTTGAGCTGAAGAGCTGAGGGACAACACCCAGGCCCAGAATTCAAGCCTCACCAAAAAAAAAAAAAAAAACCAAGAAAAGAAAAAAACTAATTTATTACCTGTAAACAAAGTAGCATATGAATACATTCTTCTTGATTTTCTTGATAGTTTTTTCAGTACTGGGATTTGAACTTAGGGCCTCCTACTCAGGCAAGCATGTTACCACTTGAACTATGCATCCTAGAGCTGCTTTTCAGACTTCTTAAAATGCTATTTGTGATTCAGGATGCCTAGGATTTAGTATATCAAGGGTCTACTAAGCTCCCAGATGATGCCAGTACTGCTGACTCATAGCTCACACTTCAATCATAATTAGTAGAAATTGAATTAAGCTTGTGTGTATGTTTCTGTACATGCCAATCCTAAGGTATGAACTCAGGGCTTGAGCACTGTCCCTGAGCTTTTTTCAAGGCTAGAACATTACCACTTGAGCCACAGCTCCTTTTCAGGCTTTCTGATACATAATTGGAGATAAAAGTCTTACAGACTTTACTACCCTAGATTACTTTCAATGGTGATTCTCAGATCTCAGCTCCTGAGGAGCTAGGAGAGCAGGCTTCAGCAGCCACCAACACTCAGCTGCATTAAGCTCTGTTTTGGAGACAGTACTACTGATAGATTTTCATAGTTTTGTCTACCTATTCTCATATTCATTCACTTGTGCCTAATGACACAGTGAAGAAATATAGTCTGTGACTATAACACAAAATCAAATCGATTGCAACATATAGTAGACACTGAGTCCTCACTGTAATCACAGCTAAAAAGAAATAACTACATCATGTGAGCTGCTTATAGCCATCCCTACTGAGACTCAAGAATGTTAGCAATGAGGCTGGGAAGGTGGCTCAGTGATAGAGCGCTTGCCTTACATGCATGAGGCCCTGGGTTCAATTCCTCAGCACCACAGAAGCAAAAAAGCCGGAAGTGGCACTGTGGCTCAAGTGGTAGAGCGCTAGCCTTGAGCTGAAGAGCTGAGGGACAGC